CGAGGTGATTTACAAGCAGTATTGTCAAGCATGGGGTGTTTTCTTAGTTGGACAATAGTTGGGAAGCTATACAAAGAATGGGGGATGGGGTTTCCATGGAGATATAAAGTGCTGTTGTTAATCTAATAATCAAATCAAAATGTGTGTTCTATATTGAGTCTTGATGCTATTAAGGCCAACTGGCAAATGCATTAGCAGTGGTGTGATGTATGACCTACTCTGGCCAGTATCCCTATAGACGTATATGCACAACAGTCTGGGGCAGGGATGGAAAACCAGGGCTAAAGAATGTTATAACATCTAAAAGGCTATGGTAATCAAATTCTTATGTTCACTTATATAAAAGATCAAATCATGTTGTGTAGTAGATATAATAAAGAATGAATGAGAGCAATAGTGAGACAAAGGGGTTAACGTCCTAATCCAGATGTAATGTGTAGTGTCTGAAGGAAGATTAATCTGGATTAAAGTAATTAGAGAGTGATGGGATGCGACACTGGATACGGACATACTGAAGTACTCTGTTTTAATCGCACAAAGATAAGAAGTATTGAAAAGGAAACACAGTGGCACAGTGGATTGAGAATGGGCCTGATATAATTTTGCGAGATATTGCTTAAGTAAATTTAGACAATAGATGATAATACTGAAACCAAACTGTAAAACAGAATTATGACCAAAACACTATTCTAAAAGTATAAAATTTGTAGAAAAGAATTGACAGAATGCAACAGTTAAGTAGATAGTTTGTATCTATAATGAGTCATAGAATTTCATAATTCAAACCTTGACATCTTAAATCTCATCATAGTATCTAAAAATGAGCAAAAACTTGCCACTAATATAAAGAAAAATGTACCCAAGGTAAAAAAGTATTGTTCCTTCTGTCATATATTGAAAGATAAGTTGATATAGTATTTATTGTGACCGGCCTAGTTTACTATATGTGCTATAAGGCCACAGCACGGAATCGCTGGTTTAGTCAACTTGTGTCTTTTGTCTCATCCCGTTACTCTACAAGACAAACCCTACTCTACAATGAAAACTCCTATTCCTGCTGGCCTGACTCTATCTGTAGCTCCTTTACAAAACACTCAAATCCCTGAGGCAGCATGTGTCCTAGCAGCATCGGTAGTGGTTCGTCTGTGTCATCATTCTTCCACATTCTTCTCTCATGCATGGTAAACTAAATCCATCCATCCAGGCTCTCACTGCAGCCATGTCATGCCCTCACAGCTGGCCGTCTGCGCACCACGACCCAAGTTAATCTGCCCCGGACAGCCGCGACATCTGCTCCCCGTACTTACTGTCACATGTATTCTCCCTGTATGTCCCAAACCTAGATTCACATGTATTCTGACAGAGGAAGTCAACCTGTGTTAGCGTCAATGTGGTGTGTTACTGAACCTGCTCAGTGTCACATCCAACAGGGTTTAAAGCACTCTGGATGGTCGGTGCCAGTGCCGACGTGGTTTAATCCAGTTGATCTGACTATAAACAGATAAAAGAGGTCTGATTTGTGCCAATGTACTGTCAGGTCAAGTGGTGACATATTCTAGCCTACTGCTCTAGTCTATCTGTGAATAGTACTTGAAGCAGGGCTGTTTCTGTTTCTTTTTAAAAGCTATGTAACTTTTCTGATGAAAGGTCTGCCATCTGCTTGTCTCCACCAAAATGCTAATACTGTACCTTGCCTGGACTGTTCACAGTATACCATTGTATGTATTGATCTCCATGGCTAAGTTACATGTCAGATCTGTGGAGAGGCGACCCTGCTAAGAGTAAGAATACATATTTTTAATAATTACATCAAGCAATTAAATCTATAAGTAAATAAATGCTAGATGGACATGTTTAATAGCCAGGCTGGCGCCACCTAGTGCTTCTGCTCAATTTCATTTCTCCAGCAACTAGGTCAAGAATCAAAATTTCGCAAAAACCCCGGAAGTGCAAGTTCAGGCACCAGCCAAGAGGGCATCAGCGAAGAGCCATATATTCAGTGTTGTCAAAGATTCTCGAGCTCGAGGATTTAAAGCCAGAATAAAGAGAATGTTTGGTGAATTTCATCAAGGGGAAAGACGTTATTGCCCTTCTTCCTACGAGATTTGGGAAAAGCTTAATATACCAGTTAGCCCTGTTAGAACCGCATCACATATGCCACGACCAAATAGCAGCGATTGGTACCCGCCTACCGTCGAGCGAACAAATTCTAACACTGCAAGTTCAAACGGTTTCTACTAAGTGAAACAAAGTGAAACTGGCTAATGAATCAGGCTACATGTTTAATGCTATACTGTGGAACTTTCCAGGCAAAGCCGTAACATCTCCATGATGGACTCTCGAACAGAAAAGTTACATATTGCACCTTTAAAGTTATGCAGTTTTTTTGTTGAATATTGCATAAACATGACCAATCTGTTCCCTCAGTTCAGATTTCATAGATTGATTTTGCTGATAAATAGTTTGTAATGTTTAAAGGGTTTGTGTGTATGTTTTACATTATGATTCTCAAGCCAATTATCCAAACAGAAACAAGAATGCCACTGCTTTTTAGGTTGCCTTCTTACAAAAACTGATTGTACATTGGGTCAAATGCAGAGGATAAATTTCCCTACAGGGACAATAAAGTGTATCTTAAACTTACTGTAATTATTACCTTAACTATGCGATGGTTGAAATGTGGCTAAACCTTCAGCTTGATGTCCCTTGTCGTACTTGACTTATAGCTGGAAACGTCTCTGCCTTTGGAAAGTGACACCTGAGCCATGTTATGTTCCCATGGAGACAAGTGTCACCATACCTGGGTGTGTCCAATGAAAGACGGGGGGCCTGGCATGCATATCTCACCACTATATTGTTTCGTCTCGTTTGCATACTCCAACCCAGACAGTAACGTTACACAAAGAATAAACCAATAGTCCTGAATCATTGCCACCTGTGAAGTGTAAAAATACACTACTAGAAATAGGCCTAGAGTCCTTCTGTCCGGCCTGAAAATAACTTAGGAGGCAAACAGGCAACAAAACAAGAGCTGTACTGGGAACACACAAAGCACAGATTAAGACTGACAAATTTAACCTCCATGTGTCGTATTAGCAGTCACTTGATCACAAATTTGTACAAGTATTTGTGTCACCACGGAAGTATAAAATCATCTGGAAAAATCTGCCAATGATTCAATGACTCATAAAAGCAGTTCTTAATATTATTGTATAGTGAAATGAGACATGTCACAATAATTACTAAATCAATTTATTGTTTAGTAATTGACAGATGTAACAAAAACTTTGGGGGGTTCAATATTTGTCATGAGTACTTTTTCTTTGTAACATTGGGGAACATGTATTACTTTTCTGTAGTACAATGAGATTTGAGCTGTAAATAAAATACTTCCATGACCAAATATATACAAATTAACTACTATTGTTTCATTCATTTATTTATTACAACTCATGTTTTTGAACTAATTTGTACATTTAGATTTTTTTTTTTTTTTTTGCTTGCTTGATGTAAATAAGTTTCAGCATTATATTATCGTTTATCGCTTATATTTTCTTCAGCAATATGCAGAATTTGATATCATCACAGGTCAAGTGAAATAGCAAAATTAGGCTGCTTTGTATGATATTTACCCATGTTTTCTCAAACAACTTGCACCTGAAATACTTGTTGCTCAAACTGAAAAGTGATATGTCAACTTTTTACACATGGGTATCAATTATTCAAAAGATGGCTGCTGTTGGGAAATGAACTGAACGTATTAATACCGGAGAAGTTGCCTAAATGGTCTGCTAATCTTCACAGGAAGGAATTTAAGCTCATACATTTTTAATACATGTTTAACACAGTTTTTTTCTCTCTAATCTAAGTCCAGAATATCTACGTCGATGGATTGGTTACAACTGAACTTTGTCAGATGAGTTAGATAACTAGGAGATAATCAGTGAATAACATGTTTGATTCACTCAACAAGCCTTTTGATACAACTGATTGGGTAGGCAAGTTAGGTAGTATCACTCAGTTGAAAATAGTCCAAATAAACATCTTTGTTCCTCTGTTTGGGGTAACGCAATTTGATTTCTCACGATAAGGGAGTAAAGGATCCAGGAAATATTTTTGAAACATTTGGCATATAGGCTGTCTGAGTTATGTTGTGTATCATATCAACAGTTTTGAACCTGTTCCTCCAGTCTGTAACACCTGTAGTCCAAAAGTTAAGCATGTGAATAAAATTAAATTACTTCTATCAACCTTGTCCTTGGTTGGCCTTTGCACCACTGAAACCAAACAGGGAGAATGACAATAAAACATTTAACTGTTAAGTCAAATCATGTATATATTTATTTCATCTCTCAGACTTTATATAGGCTAAAGCAGGGGTCTGCAACCGATGCGTAAAGACTAGTCCAAAATGAAAACAGAACATGGCATATCCAGTAAAATAGGTCAGCACTACCATGTATCATACTGGTCAGGCTTAGAGCTTTAGCAGAGATAGAAGAAGCAATGCTCTCAACCATAAATGATAATCTCATCAATGTAATCAACTACACGTTACAGCATCTCTTCCCTGCATGCAGGAGATTGGTGGAAGGGTTTGATAACTATGGCAACCGGAATCCCCTCGCGCCAATTGGGGGCGTTCCTGCTCTTGCAAAACAAGCTCGCGTCCTCAAATCGTAAACAAGGGGTTCGCGTTTTTTACGTTCACATGTGGTTGTATTATAAGTACTCCAACATCAAAGACACGGTTGTGTGGGTCGTTGCAATAAGGCCCAACAGATCCCCAACTTTTGCAGCCACACACACGCCAGGCTCGCGGTTGTCCTACTCTCACTTGTAACCCGAGACTGCATGGTCCCCCAACAGGTGACGGTGCACCAGTGCTGCATGGGGTGTATTTTTGTCCCACATTCACAGCGTGTTACCGCCTGACCCATTTGTTCCCTCATTCTACAGCAGCAGGCCCCACAGTCTCATTCATCGGTCATTGAACTCACCTCTATCCATTTCTGAGCCTCTAGGCACGCTGGCTCGGGGTGGCTGTGCTCCGATGGCCCCTGCTCTTCCTGGGGGGTGCCGTTTTCTTGGGTAGCCATGTCCGGACAGGCCCCTCCAGACAGCTATCAGCCCGCGAAAGTGCTGGACACTGGTGGAGCAGGATATGCGATACGTGATGAAGCGAGGTAACGCTCCCCTCCCCGCGCTGTCAGTCCCGTTATCCTTTTGGCCGTTCACTCAAACAAGTCCGCGTGCAGCGTTTACCGACGAGCCCGTGCGTCCCCAGCCCCGCTCCGAACGATGGACAAGATCTGAACACTGCAACACGAAGCAGCCGCTAAAAATATCCCGAGTGGGCTGTAGTGAGAGGCTGCGCTCGCTCAGCCACCACTGGACCTGCTGTGGCTGTTACTGCACCGTGTACTGCACACTACCACCACCGCCGCCCTCCCGCGCTGTTTAGGACACGTGAACGCGCAGGCAGGAATCTGAGCGGGGGAGGTCGAGCGACCGGACTGGTGAGAGAGGAGTGGGCTCCTGGTTACCCCAATATCTACCCAACAATGACCATACATAGATTTAAACACGCAAACCACTGGTTCAAGCAGGCCTACGCAGAAATTAAAAATTTCTAAACATTGAAATTTCAACTTGAATGATTTATTTCAACAATTTTCAGCAACATTTAAACAAGCAGTTTTTCAACATTACGGGCAATCGTCAATTTCAAGTCTAACTTACCCAAATTGTATTGTGGGTTTACAATCAATGTCCAACTGATTGCTTTGAGCAAATTCCAACCATTTCTATCATTGGTACATGAAGATTTGGAAAATGTGTGCGCATGTTAATAGTGGAGACTTGTGCACAAATAATTTGGCCCTCAACTCACAACAGTCATTCAAGAACTATCCAGGATTATCAGTAGAATCATGTACCACAAACCAACTTTAAACTGGTTGGCTCACAAGGCATTTAAGCATCCATTTACCACAGATGCAGACGTACAAAAGTGCTAAACATAAACACGCAGTGTTGGTCACTGCTGAACATACATAAGGCTTAAACACAAAAAGGTATAACAGTGAACACATTATATGCTCAAGAATGCTTTGTTCAACACAGGACAATTGGTGGAAACAAATGCCCTTTACAGTGCATAGTGCATGTGTACAGGTGACAGGACATCTAAATGCTTCAGGGCATGGGCATTCCATTCGTTTTTTTTTTTTTTTTTTAAATGGTGCTTAACTTTGACAGAGAGCCACAGCAGAGAACCGGACTTCACCTTTTTCCCTTTCCACAAAGCCCCGGCACACTTTCGCAGCATCCTACAAATGAACAAGAGTTGTTTTTATTCATGGATCCAAAACAGAAATGCTTACAAAAATTTTATTCAATTATTTCTGCTGAAAACTAAACATAGGAAATGGTGCAATATTCTACATACCTTTACAAAAGTGTCATCATTGGTAGCCCCATGGCTCACTGCTCCATCCATTCTTCCATCTAAAAAATAAAATATACTAACATAAGAGCATGGCAAGTACAAAGCAGACATATTTTGTTCATATCATTTACTCTATCCACAGTACACTTACCAAATTCAAAAAGTTCTCCATTCACATTAACAAAGGCAATAAAGTGGAAGTTGACTTTATCAGCTTCAGGCTGCAATAGTAAAATTGACATAATGGTTTAGAGGCACAAAATAAATCCAGAGGATGTTTAACCAATATAATTCTATCATTTATAAATCACACTTACCCTGCACTGTCCTTGTGCAGCAACATTATTGTGTGCTTCTTTGATCGCCTGTAGAAATAAAACAGCAGTTTCAGTTCTCTTACATATTTTTCAGCTGCCTTTCATCTACTCATTTGGAAGTACTTCTACACTTAATGTAGAATGGGTCCAATTCTAATCAACTACTACGGTACAGCAATTACACTCACGTTTAATTTGTAGCACATGATGCCCCCAAGTGGCTAAAATAGCAACAGCACCCATCTCCTGGCTTACCATTTTAAATTGAATGCATTTACTTTTAGCTCTAAAGATCTGTGAAGAGAATTCTGTACCTGATTTCCCTCAAATTGTTTGGCACGGTCCTCAGCAGACATACCAGCAGTGTCATCCAGAAACTTCTTTAAGGCGGAGCTATCATCTGACAAGAAAGAAAACCGATACAGGATCCAAAATGGAGGAATATCACAATGACACAGCCCTTTTGCTAATGTTATATATGCACTTACTGAACGTCATCTTGCCCTTGTTGTTGCCTACGGAGTGGAGCAGGGCGATGGTGCCACAGGAATTGCCCACAGTCTGCTTCAGGAAGTACACCCCAGAGTCAGCTGCCACTTTGTCTGCCTGCTGCTGCCTAAAGGACTCATGCTGGAAAGAATCAAGAGAGGTAGACAGATTACCACCTGAATGAAGAAGAGCTGTCTGTGTCAACTATTAGAACCATAATCAGTTGTTAAAGGAAGGAACGGTACACACAAAACTAAACAAATCCTTAAAAATAGGTCTACATATGTAAAGCTCCTTAACTGTACAATTGAAAGAACTTAAAATGAATTCTATATAAAAAGGTTTTAAAGCAGAGTAGCAACTAGCAAGGAAAGATATCAAGAGGTCTAATGTCCTTAAACACTTTTAAAAGCAACACTAAAGTGGATTGTATTTGTATGAGATTATGGTTCATTGAATGCACTTTCTCACAGCATAGAGTATTTGCTCTAGCTTTAAGAGTCGAAGCTCACTTCATCAAGATTTTTACATTTCCAGCCAATGTCTAGTTTCACTTCATAATTTCATTCCATATGTAACCAGTAGAGCTTGGGAAAATATTGTGGCCAGGTGTGCCAAACGCCCATAGAGATACATGAGCAACAACATGTAAAAAGGTAAACAAAAGAGCTGTGGGGATAAGATGCTGAGTCACTACTGATAAATACACTTGCCAAGTTGCAGTGTGCAGAAAACAGCATGTTTAGTATTAAGCAACTTAAAAACCCAAAGAAAATTGTTAGATGACAACACAATCTTCAGAGATCTACATGAAAATCAACCAGGGGAATCATTCAAACTAATAATAAGCCAGTAAAACAAAAAAGACAAGTACAGAAGAAAGTAATATTCCCCTCTAGTCTCAACCATTACCTTAAGACAAAACCCCCTCAACTTACTCTTGCCTCCTCTGCACACTAAACTCACCCCACCCGAGTCAGACAGTCCGTTCTGAGCCGTTCTGGTGCCCACCCCACCCTCCAGTGACTTCCAGAAGAAAGTGTCGTCACCTCCACACCCCCTGCCCCCGTCCTACCTGTTGTGTCAAGGGGAAGAGCAGCATCAAGGCACAGCATGGTTTGGGCACGGCGGACAGTTGATCGCCCTCCAGTCCAAGCACATCCACAAAGCGCCAGTTTCCGCCCACGCCCAGTTTATCCATCATCTGAAACGCAGAAGACAGAAATCAATGAATAAGTCCTCGTAGGTTATCAGATATCACTAGGAGGTCTTGTATGTTCTTGTATGTCTCATTTAAAGATTCTGCGTGGTGAGAGCGTAAGACCACACCCTGGGTCCAGAGGTGGATGCTGTGATACGGTTTGACAACTCACATGTACGTTATGTCCAACTAGCGTTAGTGCAGCTGCATGGGCTTAAAAATCAAGTCTAAAAAGTCAAGTAATCACGTTTGATAAGCCACCGAACTGCCACTATCGCTGCAGAAATGTTAAAAGCAAAAATGCTAAGTTGGAAAACAAACAATTTTACCGACTTTTATCGACCAACTAAATTTTACCGACCGTTATGAAGTTGTTAGCGTCATTTCATATCTGTCGTTTAAGCGCCAGTTAGCTACTCACCTTGTTCAGCATCTGGGGAAAAAAAAGAGAAAGGGTAAATATTATATTTCTAAATGCATTATATAGCAACATAAAATCCTGCTCACCTCAGGGTTGATTTCCATCGGTGTCCACTCCATTGTATTGATCAGTTTTAGATAAACGTAAAAGAACCTGTCTAACGATTTCTTTACAGTGAGGCGAGCGCGTGGACAGCAGCGGTTCTTATGGGTCGGATTATACCACCTGTGCCCAGACACAAGGGGTGCACACTCTAGAAAAAACATTCAAATAATATGTCATTAGAAGATTATACATACAATCTACGAGTGCAAGAGACAACCAAATCACAGCAACACAATCACTTATCAGCAAAATAAAGATTATATTAGTACTGTAGCTAACACCACTTTCACCACAATGTTTTTTTGGCCAGGGATTTGTCACAATGCTAGCTTTTTTTTCCTTCAATTTTATTTGGCAGCTAGGTTACAATGACTAGATTTTCAAAATAAAAAACTGGGAGATCCCTGGTTTGGGTTGGTTGGTTATAATAAAACTGTGAAATGAGTGCGTAATTAAGGAAACTTGGTACGCACTCGGCACTAATTTGAGTCAGTATAGTCACATTTTCTATGTGTTTTGGTCATTTTTAGGCAGCTTTTCTGTATTTTACCTAAACAAATGACAATTTATTCCTCTTTTTACTGTTGGCAGGCATCAATGTGGTCAAAAATAGGGCCACCTGGAACATCACTGGTTTTGGATAAATCTGCTGGGACAGGGGACGCAGGGCTCAAAACTGGGACTGTCCCGGGTAAATAGGGACGTCTGATCACTCTAAACTAGGCCAAATTGCCAAAAAATAAATATAGCCTAATAATAAAGGTATATCCATAGACTATATATACAGTCTATCATTATAGAACACAAGCCTGTATGCCTAGGCCTATGTATAGCCTATTATAGCCATAGCTAATTTGCCAGGGATCCATATACTTTTTGAATACTTTATACAAAGATGTCATATTCAGCTGTGTACAAAATACAGAGAGCCTATTGAGACGTTAAAATATCATTTCAAAATAGACCCACAGCTTTATCATTGGATTAAATAGGCTATGCTTAGCCTGCTACCAACCAGTAGCCTACTTTTCAATAATTGGGATGCTTGCAGTTTGTGATGCGTGTCCATTGCACTGGCCATTTGTCCAGCTGCTTTTTCTGGATAAAGCCTAGTGAGGTCATTACATTCCTCTTCACAGGACTTTGTAAGCCAAACTGCACTGCTGTGTAGAATTAGGGCCCAGCGCATACCAATATTGTTTTCATGCCACGAATTTTGAGCTGCATTTATGCAAGTTCAATGCAAAGCTCAGTCTTAATCAAAAACAATAGTTGTGTTCCTTAAAAGTATATTGTTTGCATAAGCCTAGCATTGTCATGATATTGGAATAAGCCTACCGGTTTGTTCAGGCTGTTTTCCTTCATGTTCTTACCTGTTGAGAAATTGGTGAGAAAGCAAACTCCAAAACAATTCTGACTTTTCTTATAATAATTTATATATTCTTTGAATTAGACCTAGTTATTTTTGTAGAGATGTTATTTAAGTTTAAAAAATTAAAAAGAAACAAAATAACCTGAAGCACAATTTATGATTTCAGTGAATTAGCACAGGGATGAGATAAAAAGGTGTGTGATCTGCAACAATCTATTTCAGTTTGGGTGGCCATCAGTATACTTCAAATCATAAACGGTCGAAATCTTCAAGACACAAGAAAAAGGTAGTTTCAAGCAATACTGACATGATGAGTTCGATAGGTGGCGCCATTACCTAAGGCATCACTTATTAGTGTTCTATTGGTAGCCCTGCCACCAAAAATCGTAAATTCATATTATAGGTCTACCTATTCTTGTTATATTCCAAAGTATAGGCCAATGCCACAAAATCTCTCTCTCCCTGTTAAAACACATACAACTAAATACTATCAAAGATGTGTATGGTTTGAGCCGTCAGACAGGCAGTCTAAAAAAACAGCTATTATTATTATTATTATTATTATTATTATTATTATTATTATTATTATTATTATGGGGACTAAGACCTCATAATAAACCCGGTAAAGTTGCCATTTTATCCATAACCTGTAGGATTCCAGCAATGTTAGCGTCCACTTATTTTTAATGATGATACAATTAACCTATTATACATTATTTAAACAGCTCTTCCAATTTGAATTATTTATTAAAAAGCTAATTAAAGACGATTGATAGCTGACAGACATGAAGACTAAGAGCAGCAATAGCAATAATGGTAGCAACAAACCATTTAATATTTTGTTGACTACAAAAGGATGGGCAAAAAAATCAAAGTTCAAACTAAAGTAGCCTTATAGAATGGACTAGGATAGGCCAACTGGCTGATAACCTACTGTTTTTATGTTTTCGTTTTTCTTAATTACTTGTTCAATGGAGAATCGAAGTGAGTCAACCACTGTTTGTTTGACTGCCGGTCCTCGTCGTGCGTACAGCCGCTGGTGTCTCACTCCCCAGGTTTACGTGGGCTTCTCGCTGGATCTAGAAAGTACTGGAAAACTCAGCTGTCAGGTTTATGTCAGCTCGAGCCACGCACATGGACGTACCTACGTTGTTACGCTGTCCTCTCGCTCTGTGCTGTGATTGGACAGATTCGTAGAGGAGGCGGGATGTTTCCAGATACAGCCAGAACTCAGAGGGAAAAAGTATAAATATGATGAGCTCTAGAGTTGAGACGCAAAGCTGCAAAGGAGCAATAGAAGAATTTGCGAAGGTGCTGAATACACATGATATAAACCTCGTCCAGAGACTCTCAGAGATTTATCTAAGGTATGTACAGCCCTCCATTTAAGCTTTTAATGCAGTTTGAAATAGAAATCAAATACATTTTAGACTTATGTAGGCCTTGCAACTTATGACATTTTGTTTAAATAGCAATTCAAAATAACTAATATAATAGTTTTGTTTTGTTTGCAGTTTTCCAGTCATATAATCAGCATGTCTGCAAACGGAGTAGCTGTGGGCATTGACCTGGGCACCACATACTCCTGTGTGGGGGGTCTTCCAACACGGAAAAGTGGAAATAATAGCTAATGACCAGGGCAACAGAACAGAACAGCTATGTGGCGTTCAAGCTGCTATTCTCTCCGGGGACACTTCAGAGAATGTCCAGGACCTGCTGCTGCTGGATGTAGCTCCTCTGTCCTTGGGCATCGAGACAGCTGGAGGGGTCATGACGGCCCTGATCAAACGCAACACCACCATTCCCACCAAGCAGACCCAGACCTTCAGCACCTACTCCGACAACCAGCCGGGGGTCCTGATCCAGGTGTACGAAGGGGAGCGGGCCATGACCAAAGACAACAACCTGCTGGGCCGCCTTGAGCTGACAGGGATCCTCCCTGCCCCCCGAGGGGTCCCTCAAATCGAGGTCACCTTTGACATCGACTCCAACGGCATCCTGAACGTGTCAGCGGTGGACAAGAGCACCGGCAAAGAGAACAAGATCACTATCACCAATGATAAAGGCCGACTGAGCAAAGGGGAGATCGAGGAGATGGTGCTGGATGCAGAGAAGTTCAAAGCTGAGGACGAAGCCCAAAGGAACAGAGTCAGTGCCAAGAACGCTCTGGAGGCCTATGTGTTCACTGTGAAAGACAGTGTGCAAGATGAGGCTGTGAGCAGCAAACTGAGTCAGGACGACCGCAAGAAACTGCTGGACATGTGTGAGGAGACCATGAGCTGGCTGGACAACAACCAGCTGGCAGAGGTGGAGGAATACCAGCACAAGCAGAAAGAGCTGGAGAAAGTGTGCAAGCCCATCATCAGTAAGCTGTACCAGGGAGTGCCCCCCACAGGCAGCTGCAGAGAGGACGCCCGGGGGAGCTCCCAGGGGCCCACTATTGAGGAGGTGGACTAAAGTGACTCTTCATACACTGTGAACTAGTTAATACTGGAATGCACTGTTATGGATGAATTTATGACCTTTGTTACCTCTGAAATGTACTGCTGAATTGTAAATATTGTTTATCTTTTTTTAATTATAGTTTGTATAATGCTCAATTATTGAAAGATGAAAATATTGTACAATATAACAATTGTGATGTAATGTTGGTCTTTACAAGCAATAGGCTAAATGTATATAAAACTGTGTTTTCAATGCTGAACTGTAAAGTTGTATAGTAGTGTAGTTTTCCTGTTGATTTTTTTAAAAATGTTGCCAGTGTTTAATAAATCTAAAACTGAACTACAGCCTAGTCATATGTCTTTGACTCAGCAACTATGAAACTAGAGAATTAGTGGCACTCCAGTGACAAAGAACAGAGAATACAAAAACACATAGTGAACTAACCATGGGAAATATAAATGCAAAAATAATACTTATTAGACTAATTTTCACACTAGAAAAATTAACAACAAGGAGTCAGTGGCTGCAGTTACACTCAAAATCTGATTATTAGATTTCTGAATTTGTATGGTTACTAAATAACATGTAAACAGCTAATGTGAGTCATCTGAGGGACCATGAAAAGAACTGCACTAGCTATAGGATGTCATTTCATCAAACTCCAGAAATCCTATAATGATCAGATTTTCATGTGCATGTAGCTGTGATCTTGAATACAATGAGACTTCTAGTTAAATTGTATTGAACAAAAAAATAATAATTTGTTTATTACACCCAAACAATAATTTGTTGTGATTTAGGTTCATTTGTTACATGTAAAATTAAAAGAATGTTCATTAAATAAATAAGAGTTAGCTGAACTATACCTATAGATCAAGGCTAACGTTTGTAAATATGATGCTACTATTTTGCAGTACCAACACTACACTCAATGCCTGCAACTCGGCCCAATGAAACAACATTTCCCAGAGTTCTTTAAACTCATGCTCCGGGGTGTGGCTCACGCGCGCTCACAGACCGGCTGACACACGCACGCGTAACAGCTCTTTATCCCGGGTGGCTCCGTGCGTCCGTCCCTCTTCCTCCAGTCTGCGCTCGGTGCCGCTTCTACCTCAGCTCCGCAGGGTGACAGCCACTGCTCACGGTAAGTTTCCACTACTCCAGGGAACTTCAGCTCACTGAGATCACAGAATCCTGCCAGGTGAGTGTGGGACACCCAGGGTCTATGTTTGTTTTAGCTTCCTCTAATGCGAAATTTGAAAAAGACGTGTTAACCTAGAAAAAGTAGTTTGTCATAGAGCATTTTGCTTTAAGAAGATGTTTATACTGTAAACTTTGCCTCAGCGGTGTGTGCATACCCCATGTTTGAGCACGCTACAACTAAAACAAACTTTTTGTTCAGCAGACTTACTTCTTGTTTCTTATCATTCTTCGGACATCAAGACTGACTTAAAAAATGGTGAGTAGATTACTTTTTACACTGTCTTTGCAAAGAACTATACTAAAATCCGTTATTTATGCTAATAAGATATGACTCATGATGGGTTTTTATCCCCTCCACTCTCAGACAACGCCCACTTAATGTTATGTAACCCCTTTTCATCTTACCATAAATTCAAAGTCATAATCTGTTTCGTGACATGGTGATGTGTTGTAAAACTTGAGTCAACCCTTGTAATATTCTGACACTATTATTTTAAGTCTGTTCCGCCTCAGCACTTCTGTCAATTCAAACTTACCAGCGTAACTTTAGTTTCATTTTTGTTTGAGCTAACCTACATCTTTAAAGTTTGTGATATTGACTACACAGAGCTACTACTTCGACTACCGGACAGGCTACTACTTTTTTAATATATTGACCTGAGTTAAAAGTTAAACCGTGTTTGCCAGTGGGAGGAAGAGTAGATCATTTGGGGAAGTTGGAGGTTTTGTGTATGACTCATCGTGTGCATGGGCTTCAGTCCATTCGGGTGGGTCTCTGTCTGTCTCTCCACCTCTGTGAGTTTATACACATATTTCCACTGGAGCCAGCCTCTCTCTCTTAAAGGGGAATCACCACATCAGCGTAGTAGGGTCAGTGAAAAACATTTGTTTTTCCAATCATTCACTTGAACCAATGTAAATAGTAAGACAGTATATATTTTCAATACTACCAGGCTTTAAATAATTTTTGTTGGTGAGCTAGACTAAAACTGGGGGGGAAAAATACAGCAAATACATGCACATACATGCTTTTTTTGGATTGCAGTTGCTATGTAACTTTTCTGGCGAAGGGTCTGTCATCTGCTTGGCTCATGAAGATGCTCTACTTTTCCTGGTATGTTTTACACTATGCCATTATACATGTATCCATGGTGAAAAGCAAGTGATGCCACCTGGCCAAAAAACAGATCAGACCTGTGCAGAGGAAAGCCCATATTCCTCATAAGAGGAAGTTGTGAAGATAAAAATGATGTTAAATGCCTTATGTGATAAAATGACATCTCCATGTAGCCAAGCTGATGGTAGTACCCCCAGAAAAAAATTGCACAGTCCACCTTTTAATCTACTTAAAACTTTGAGTTAAAGTGGGATCAAATATTTAAATGAGGGGAAAAATGCATTTATTTAATTTTACTAAATTTTACTTAACAGGTGTTGGAATGTCAGGTATTTTGATATGAGTACTCAAACATATTTCATAAACATTCCATGTGCTATCTGTAACTAAATCTAAGCATAAAAAAACAAGCATCTATGTAAATCGCATCAAATGTGACAGAACAAGATTAGATGGTTCGTGCTCTGACCTGAAAATATTGCCTAAGCTGCACTGAAAATGTACATTATATGGAATGTTAAGATCACAAATCACATGCTTTTATATATAGGTGTAAGGTCGAACATTAGTGTGCATAGACTCATTTTATACATAACTAGTGCGATAACAGTGTTAGCTTATTGCATCCTGGCATACCACCCTCCCAAGATCCCAGCCTCTTATCATGTCCCAACTCGCCTTAGTAACACAAGCACACTGGGCCACTCTTCTTGAAATGATAGGAATTGTATTGTTTTTAGTTTCCTGATAGTTATCCATTGTGCAGCTGTTTGCTCACTGCATTGATTGGATTTGGTTTACCTTGTGAGCTTATAATTAATGAACGCACATTGGTGTTAGAGAATTCCTCCTGCAAGACTGGACAGAAAGTTCTTGTTAAGTGAAATTTGTTTGCAGACTGACCATTTTTTTCAGGCTTTCCAGAGTCAAAATTCCAAAGAAATTCCAGTGGTTTCCAACTCCAAGCATCTCGCCACAGAAATAACAAGAGGACACTTCTGCTGTTTCATTGTTGATTAGTGTAAAAGGAAGGTTGAGAGTGAGGGACTGGGCTATAGTAGAAAAACAAATGCAAATTTAAGCAAAAGCATTAAACGGACATCGGGATTTATTGGGGAAAACAAAAATGTGTGAAATGGTCATGTTTTGACTGTTTGATAATAGTATACCTGTAACATTATACTTTATACTTATATTTATTTAAGTCATTAAGTACTGTATATAGGATACAGTATTGAATTTTTCTGGTGGCAGATCTAGTGTTGGCAAAAGTACTGAAAACAGATACTAAAACTAGTATTGAGCGAGTATCGATACTAAAGTCACATTCATAGGACAGAAATGCACCTTTCCTGAATAGCTTTAGAATGATCTTGAGCTGTATCAGAACAAGTATAAGAGCACATAGACTAGTATACACCCATGGACCACTGTGGAACCTACCTCGACCACTGAGGGATTACACAGATATAAGACCACATGGTAATATAAAAGAAAGTACAACGATTTAATGTTGAAAATCACTTTCTATTGTCTATTATCATCTTGGCATCAGAATCGGTACTGAGCCTGAGTCTATTCCTTAGAATCGAAATTGAGTTTGAAATTTTAGTATCGTGACAACACTAGGAGGATCCTCCATCTGCTTTGTCAAATGGAAATGTTATTTTGCCAACAATGTTCCACGTTATGGCATTAAATATCTCCATAGAGACAAACAGGTCATGGACCCCACCTATATTTTTAATCCAATTGGGATTTTTAATATGCTTTGTATTTTTTCTAATAATTGCTCTAATAAAAGGGGGCGGGGATTCTGTGCACGGAGAAGAAGTGAGGAGCGGGGAGATACCGTGCGACGACTGTAGTTTTGTGAGGATTCACATGGTTTGGAGAGACGTAATCAAGGCGGGGGCCACTTGTTGTCAAGGTGCTCAGCCGCTTTAACTATAAAGTGCTGTGGGAAACACTGGTCTATTTATTCATTATGACTAACAGCTGTACAATAATATTTATGTAATACGTTAATATTTAAAAATATGTATGTATTATTATAAATAACCCAAACAGTATGTGTGTGTATCCTCGGGTGCAAACGGTTTTCAAAGCAACATCTGGAAGTTAATAGATTCAAGCAGCAGCGTGCCTAGTTTCTGCCCTTCATTACTTCTAACGTGTGAGAATTCATGTACGAATAGCAACTTTTTTTTCAACAGGATTGTCTGTACTCACTAACAAACATCTACTTTGTGTCACTTAAAATTTTATCTCTGCATTTAAAATTTCATTGTATGCTTTTGTGTTGCAGGCCAGCAGAGGGACCGTCAAACCCAGCGCTAACTTCAATGCTAGTGCAGACGCCGAGGTCCTGCACAAGGCTATGAAAGGGCTGGGTGAGCTCAGATACTAACTGTTGTAATAGGACCTGGCAGAGTCATTCACGGTTGGAAAGCTAGAGTCGACCAATTAGACAACACTTCATTGGATATTCTGTAAACAATAGATATAGTTAAGTCTTTCTGGAGCCACACCCAGACTGCAGTTAGTCATCACGAGAGCGGGGTTAGCAAACGCAAATACAGACCACAGTGGAATTATTATTATATGGGTCTAGACCAGGCCTGCTCATTATCTTATGCTACAAATATTTATTACACTAAAACAGATAACATTTACTGAGTTCTGTAGACTCAAGTGGATAATATGAGGCGATGGGAAGTGAATCGTTATCTTATGTTTGATAGAAGAAGTTTATTTACTACTGAGTGTTTTTAGAGATAAACATTAATTCCTCTATTCTGGTTTATGTATAATTCAAATGTAGATTAGTTCAAGTTAAGGATATACCGATTTTAGGCCATTAAATTAGACTTAATATAATGTTTTATCACATGTTAATTGTTATAAAAACTATATATATTTTTACTGTGGCTAATTTGCACATCACACATTATCAGCTTTTTAAATATGCTGAGCTACAACAGTGCATGTAGGTTAGGGGTAGACAATATTGACAAAAATGAT